TAATAATATAAGTAGTCTATGGTCTGTCACTGTAGTCATTTGGCTTCTTGACTCAAATGCAGGAAGATAAAGTAAAGATGATTCAGACGTTACTCTTTGTGTCTGGACTCAACACTTTATTACAAAGCTTCTTTGGAACTCGTCTTCCCGCAGTCGTTGGAGCTTCCTACTCATATGTCCCCACCACAGTTTCAATCATCTTGGCTGATCGGTACAGTGACATTCTGGATCCTCAAGAGGTTGGTCAAAGAAACCAAAATTAATAAATAAACACATTCTGTTTTGTGTAAGTTTTGGTTGTTATAAATTGAACTCAAATTGCAGAAATTTGAGAAGATGATGCGTGGGATCCAAGGAGCTCTTATAGCTGCCTCGTTACTTCAGATCCTTGTTGGTTTCAGCGGCCTTTGGCGCAATGTAGCAAGGTAATCCATTTACATATAATAAAACAGAGACATTCCTCTGTTTCCTGATTTTTTTTGTCTAAATTGTTAGTTTATGTTTCTCTTGTTTTAGGTGTTTGAGTCCCTTATCTGCTGTTCCTCTTGTGGCCTTTGCTGGCTTTGGACTCTACGAACAAGGATTCCCTCTGGTGTGTACATAATTTGATCTCTTGGATAGTTTCTTTACATTAAAACCCTGATTTTGTGTTCTGCCCATTACAGCTAGCAAAATGCATTGAGACTGGACTGCTTGAGATCATACTACTTGTCATATTCTCTCAGGTAGGGTTAATTCTCTTCACTTAACTGAAAAACCATCATTTTCTGTATTGTTACCTAAGCTGCTTTTTTTTGTTTACTTTTGTGTTGTATGTAGTATATTCCTCATCTGATGCAAGGAGAAAGATATTCCATCTTCTTCCACCGGTTTGCTGTGATATTCTCAGTGGTTATTGTGTGGATCATCGCACTCATTATCACCATAAGTGGAGCTTATAGTAACGCAGCAATCAATACTCAGATTAGTTGCAGAACTGATCGTGCTGGCCTCATTAGCACCGCTCCATGGTATAGCTAAGACTTCTATCCTTTTTGGTTATCAAGAATTTGTTTGTTAATGAATGATAAGCTTGTTGATGCAGGATTAGAGTGCCTTACCCTTTTCAATGGGGACCTCCAACTTTTAATGCAGGAGAGGCTGTCGCTATGATGGCTGCTTCTTTTGTCTCTCTTGTCGAGGTCTACCTCTAAATCTCTCTATGTCCACTTTTTACTAGAGCGCGCATTTGTGAATCAACTTGAGAAATGCATGTTCATGTGTTTGATTCTTGGTTGTGATGGATGGGAACAGTCCACAGGGACATACATTGCTGTGTCAAGGTATGCAAGTGCAACGCCAATCCCACCTTCTGTGCTTAGCCGTGGAATCGGTTGGCAGGTAAATAACAAAACTCAAAATCTTTCCTCTATTGATATCTTTGAAAATGTCTCAATGCTTATGTGGTTTTTTTCTGTTTCAAAAGGGCTTTGGAATTCTTCTCTGTGGATTCTTTGGAGCAGCAAACGCCACATCCGTGTCTGTGTAAGCTTAGCACGCTTTATCACAAGAAATAGACTTAGAATTTTCTTATTAATAAAACACACTCCATCTTTGTATTGTAGGGAAAATGCTGGTTTGTTGGCGGTAACACGTGTTGGCAACAGAAGGGTAGTTCAAATATCAGCAGGATTCATGATCTTCTTCTCCATTCTTGGTCATTTTTTTGCTTCTATAATAAGTAATACCAATCTGAAGCTGTTACTATATATATGACACTAACTTGCTTGGCACTACTTCAGGTAAATTTGGGGCCATATTTGCTTCGATTCCATCTCCTATAGTCGCAGCTCTTTACTGTCTATTCTTTGCTTACGTTGGTACGTTTCCTGAAACTACTCAAACATGGTATACATTAGGGAATTTAAGTTTTTTTTTTCTTGGAAAGGCAATGAAAATTGAAAAAAACTATCATCAGGTGCTGGTGGTCTAAGTCTACTCCAGTTCTGCAATCTAAACAGTTTCCGAACAAAGTTCATTCTTGGATTCTCAATCTTCATGGGCTTGTCAATACCTCAATACTTCTACCAGTACACAACTTTAGATTATTATGGTCCCGTTCGCACAAACGCTACATGGGTAACACTTATATGAAACAGCATCTTTCTTAACACTGGATAAAGTAAACCTAATGCTCTGCTTTTTGTGTGTGTGTGTGTGTGCAGTTTAACAATATGATCAACGTTCCATTCTCGTCTAAAGCATTTGTTTCGGGGGTTTTGGCCTTCTTTCTAGATATGACGTTGCCTCCAAAGGACGAAACAACGAAGAAAGATCGAGGAATGATATGGTGGAAGCGATTTAGATCGTTTAAATCAGATAACAGAAGCGAAGAGTTCTACTCTTTGCCTTTCAATCTCAGCAATTACTTCCCTTCTCACTGATGAATCACATTATACACTTCAACAAGTAACTACTTTACTATCTTGCTGTGTGTTTGATAAACTGATGAAAAAGCTTTCATCTTAGGGTCATGTCCCGTTTTAGCCATCGATCCCTTGCAACATGTATGATCGATCTATGTGAGTTATAATTATTTATTAATTACAAGGAAGATCGATATGAACAAATTAACACAAAGTCCAAAAAGTAGAAACAGTGACTTGTGTTGCAAATAATGCCAAGAGGTTTCTCTAAGAATCTCAACGACCTGCAGTATATAATTGACTTGGAACAAACAAGTTTAGATAGAAAATGGAAACAAAACACGTTGAGTTTAAGATGCTGAAAATAAACAAAGTAGAAAGTAAAATTAGTAATTATTAAGAAAATAAAGCTCCAAATTAATTTAGCTTTAGATTGGATATTGAAATAGTTGGCTGTTGATCAGAGCCTTTCACAGTCTTCCTTTTTGTTCCGTAAGATTGCTCGGTAAGAGTGATAAGAGCTGCATGCCTCAGTCGTTCCCATTTTTTCTTCTCACTTTTCTCTACAAATTCTGCGCGTGCTTTGACATACTGCTTATAACCTGCAAGTTTCTTTCGACTCCAAAATACGGGTGTTCTGCTAGATTCGCTGGTAATTCCTGTGTTTGCTTCGCCAGGGATCGGGCCGCTCTTGTCGTCCTTCATCGCGAAACAAGAAGAGCACAAGCTTAATAATTAGGGTTTTCTCGGAAGCCAAAGATAAAAAAAAAAAAAAAGAAGAAGATGAAATCAGAGAGAAAGTAAGTAATTAGGGTTTGTTTATTAGGTGCGCCTCCCAATCGGCCAAATTAATTTTTAATCTTTTGTAGATCGGCCCATGACAAAATTTACAACAATAGTTGAAACTTGAGTAATGTACTAAAACCAGTCCATAAATCAAGGAAAAACATCCATTAACCTCTGGGATATAAATATGGCTTAAACATACAATATTATCTCGATTTTTTTTACTGGGGTTAAATCATCGATCTCTTACAACATGACGAGCTATAATTATTTACAAGGATGATAGATATGGACAAACTAGCACAACGCAGAAACAGTGACTTGTGTTGCAAGTATTGAAAAGGGTCTCTCTTAAGAATCTCAACGACGTAATTTATTGGAACAACAACTTTAGAAACTGGAAACAAAACCAGTCAATAATCAAGGAAAATCATCCATTAACCTCTGGGATATAATGGCTTAAACATGCAACATTATCTCGATTTTGTTTATTGGATTTAAGCTAGGTTCATGCATCATGCATGTGAACAAAGTGCATTCGTATTTTAAACTCAATGTCTACTAGCTAATTGGGATTCGAATTGTTAGATATCTATCCATCAATTAACTAATAGTAACTCTTATTACTAGCTGGTTTTCTTGGTTTCAACAATAAATGTATGCTTTAAATCTACGTTAATGTTTACCATTAGAAAAAACGACGATCAATGTTGGCCCTAACAGAAAACCAAAGGACATGTTAATCCACATCTTGATTTGTTACATGTTCGTGCATAAGGTGATTCGGTCTACATAAGATTACTATCAACGTAAGTTTCAGTGATTAAAGTGCTGCCATTGTATTTTTCCCTCAAAGGTAAAATAGTTGATGTCAGGGTAGAAAAAGAAAAAGCCTATGACAAGAGAAGTATTCGACTAAACAAGCAAATTAATAAATTAAAATTGATCGTAAAACTATGCTTTTCTTTTGTTGCGAATGAAGTGGCTTAAGGATCGTAAAACTATGCTTTTCTTTTGTTGCGAATGAAGTGGCATAAGGATCGTAAAACTATGTTTTGCTGATGCATCAAATTATGGGGTGTTACAATATAAAACAATTGATCCTCGGTGGAAATGCATCGGATCTTGCAAAAGAGTAAACAAAAGTCTTCACTACGTTTAATTTTAAACAATCACAATTCACAAAACAAGTCGTCTGATCAAAATTTTAGAGAAGTTCGGTTTCTAAAATTGCAATCTTCTTTGTTTTTAAGTTTATCAAAAGATTCAATCGGTAAATCGTATGTTGTGAAGAATTAGATATTGGAAAGTTGTCCGTAAAACCGTTCATTTTTGTTCACGAATGTTACATACACAGATTCCATTCGTTTATTAAGATAATTTATCAACATTTTAAAATAAAAAATTTCAAATATTCTGGTGATCTGTAAATGAAAAATGAAAAATAGTGACAAGCCAAAATACTTGATATCTTAGTCATCTCCCATATTCTGGGGTGCCGACACCTGTCCATATTAACGGACTTTTAAATTCCGACCATCATATTCCTCTTCTATTCCAAAATAAATATAGTTCTTAAAAAATGCAACAATATTTGGATGACATTTCCATATAACCATAACTATAAAATTAATCATAACTGAAACTGTACTCATAACGATATTTTCATAATATAAAATTAGGAGTTCACATGTTTATAAGTAAAGCTAAAGGGAGAGTGAGAGTGTGTGGACCTACCTTCGCCGAAAAACAACACTTTCCTCTGTTCCTTTTTCTTCTTTCTGCTACTCTGTTTTTTTTTCCACTGACATGGGAAATTGTCAGGCGGTTTACGCGGCGGCGCTGGTTCTACAGCATCCCGGCGGAAAGATCGACAGGTACTATAGCTCTGTTTCAGTCAGAGAGATCATGGGCATGTATCCCGGCCACTACGTCTCTCTCATCATTCCTTTGACGGAGGAGGAAGAGAAGAATATTCCGGCGAAGGTGAAGAGCGACAAGAAAGAGAGGAAGGCTGTGAGGTTTACACGTGTCGAGCTTCTCCGACCGACGGAGAATCTCGTTCTCGGTCACGCTTACCGGCTCATTACTTCACAAGGTTTCGCCATTTGTTTGTCGTCTGTTTATTGTTTTCATTGTCTGATTGATTTAATGATTAAAATGCTTACTATAAATGCTACAGAAGTGATGAAGGTCTTACGGGAAAAGAAAAGCGCAAAGACGAAGAAGCACCACACTGAGACGACGACGACGGTGAAAAAGTTATCGGAGAAGAAAGCTCTGGTAACTGTGATGGATCTTGAAGACATGGATATGGCTTAAAAAGTTTAAAATTTTGAATTGCAACGCAAGAAACTTATATTTATCGTCTAAACAAATCGAGATTGTAGAAAAAATAAACCCAATGAGTTTGTGTTTCTTTTGGCAGGAGAAGAAACAAGGGAAGCAACAACTTCGTGTGTTAACAACTTCTTCCTTAAAGTCTAAAACATGGAAGCCCTCTCTTCAGAGCATCTCCGAAGCTACGAACTGAATGTTTTGCTTGGAGGAGAAACAGTTTTTGGATCTGGAGAACCTGATCCGATACTCTACTGCATAAACTATGGTTCTGTTACTTCTTTTTTGTTTGTTTCCCTGGTCATGACAGAGGTCAGAGGATGAACAACTCAAGTCTAGATCGAGATGTGAAGAGTTGAGTTGTGTAAAGAGAAAGGCCAGCTAAAACGGAGCTTGTTCCTCCTTTTTTTATTCTTTATCTACGATGTATATATTTTCGTAGGTGGAGAAATCGATGGTCTCTTTTACTTGATGTAAGAAGAAATAGAGCTTTTCTGTTGTTGTTCCCAGTCGTTTACACCAAAAGGTTTTCGATCAAATATTAACTGGCTTCGCAACATACTAATCTTGAATGTTGAATCAACAGAACCTAATATAGATCTTAAGTACTTTCTGTTCTTATTTGATGCACAACAATACAATAATCTCCCGACAAAGGATTATAAGAGCAGAGAGCTTATAAAAGACTGATACCTGCAAAATTCAAGAGCTTTACGATGACAATTCTATCCTCCTGATACATTGACTACTCAACTAAATAACTCTCGAGTCTTGAGGTTTGGTGTTAATACTAATCAGTACCGGTCCATTCCTTCCAGTCCTTGTCAACATGATCCTGAGCCCATTTGATAGCTGCTCGTGCGGCTTGTGGACCTCCAGGCAATTCCCTTTCGTTGAGAGTATCCGCCATGTCGATGAATGGTACGACCAAGAGCGTTCCAGGTCCTCCATACTCACTCCTCAAGAACGTCTCGAATATCTGTCAAAGAATCACAGTGGCGCAAAACCAAAAAACTGTTAAAACTCCTGTACAAGAAGAAACCAATTCACTCAACAAAAACTATCTCTCACTAAAGACCATTTCCTGACCAGGCATATTCATTTTGACACTAAAAAGATTATTAGATTATCTGAACAACTTCAAATCAGGATTCGACTCTAGAGAAAGAGAGAGTTTTGAAGCATTTGCAAGTCACATTTCGAAATAGTTCACCAATTTTGAGGTCCTAAGTGGGTGAATGCCTGGATTGAATTGGAACACTCTTAAAACACCAAGATTAAAATGACCTTACACAGAAACATGTGCGAGTAAGAAAGTGAGAACATTTGAGATACCTCAGTGCAGATTCCGACAATTTCATCAACAGAGTCTTCAAAAAGATCCCTCTTGGATAGCTTCTTTAGCATATGCTCCCTAAACTTCTCAGTCTCCTGTACCACATCCATCAATTCGGTTCAGTCATCCATACAAACAACCCATCAAAATCGAGTTAAAAAGAAGAGGAAAATCAGCTCACAGCTTCGGCGAATTCGGGTATGGGATCCGGAAACTTATACTCGGCAGCTCTGCAAACGAACCCTCTCCGCGACGCATAAGAACGAGGAATATCCGTCAATTTGGTTCTCGAACTCCGTTTAAGAAACTGGGTCGATTTGACTGCCCAGAAATTCGCAGCTGGGGAAGAGAGAATGGGGATAATTGGAAGAGCACAACGGAAGGAAGAAGAAGAAGTAGAGATAAAGGAAGGGGAATGGAATTGAAGCCGAGAAGAGAAAAGAGCTTCGTGTAAAGAAGCCATTACCACGGTTTGCTTCACTCTCCAACCTTATCTTTTTCTCCGGACATTTACCAAAAAGCTGAGGGGTTTTAGCGAGGTTTCATTTCTGCAATGGAAAAAGTTGAGGGTGTAAAATATAATAAATTAAAATATGAGGGGGAAAATGGAAAAAAAAAGGGGACCTGTCAGACCGCCGTGCGACCACCCCGGCAAGGCAATGCCGAGCCGAGTAACGATCCTCTACAGCACCGGATACATCCGAAGATCATCGTGGCCGTTAATCACGCTCCGATCGCACGGTCATGGTTCATCAACCAGGGTTAGAGGCCGGTCTCCTTAGAAATCAAGGATACCAAGGTACGAGCCTATAGAACAGATCCTGTTCAAGTAAGGTCGTGACCACAGATGCTCTCTCGCAACTATATATACAATCTAAATTTTCTCTGCCTTTCCGATGTGGGACTTTGTTTCCCCCAACTTACTAGCTTTTCATGACACGTGTTATTATCCGTTTAGAAAATTATATTGAGATGATGGACTCAGATATACAAAACGTCATTATGAAAGGCTAAATTAAACTGAAATCTAGTTTGCAATGAGATAAAGTTTTCCATTCTTCATCACTAACCCATTTACATTGCATTATATCACAAGTGTCCACAGATATACTATGCAACTACAGTTACAGGGCATATTCAAAACGACCAAAATGAAAAGGATTTGTTTGTTAGCTTAGACAGCAACCAAAAAGCTTTGTGAGTTACTATTACAACCTAGAGATTCCTCTCGTTTGGCTCGAGACAAGGAAAACCTAAGAAATCAAAAACTTGTTTCTCAGTGGCGAGTTTCAGGCTTGCAGTTGCTCTAGCGCCCTGGGTAGCAGGGAAGAGTCCAGTGTCGTCAAGCCTATATCCTTTGGATTCAGCTAGCAATCTCAGCCTGCAGTATCCATGGCATATAGATATGTTTACCAACAACACAATACACATTTGGTGACATATATCATATTCATACATACCTTCTGTTCAACACGTCGTTCCCTGTCCATGCTATGAGTCCGAATGCATAGATATCCCTCGGATAAACCTGTGTATATTAAGAATACTTATAAAGAGAGCAGCCCAGTCATAGCAGAATCAAATCATGGTCTTGTCCCATTTTTCGCAATGAGCCTCCTGACTTGGGAGAGTTTTTGCAATTGTTACCTTGAAATCGATACGGCGCCGTAGCTCCTGGCCTGGATGAGTGCAGAGACCAAAATACGTGTCAACTCCTGAATCAGTACCCTGCACGATAAGGCCAAATCACTGAGGAAGAGCTGTGATTGAACAACACATTTTTTTGAAACACAGCTAAGAGAGATATTGAAACAATGTGTTTTTTGATGACTGACCAACCATATGCAAAAGAAACTGGAAAAATGTCAAAGTTACCTCTTCACTGTGGGTGCTGAAGATGAGATCTTCTCTGAGGAAGTTTATTTCCTTCAAACGCTTTACAAACTTTGTCAAGAAGCCCTTGTGACTGGAATAAATCAAAAGAAGAAGAAATCATTTCTAAAAACTTACTTACGCAGGAAGAAGAGGAAAAAAGATTATGGGTACCTTTGTCCATCAGGATGTGTGATAACGATATCTAAATCTCCACAAGTAGACTTCCCACGTCTGTATGATCCTCCACATACAATATCCACCTGCAAGAAAGATGTTCGAATGCCATTATTGCGATTTCACTAAAATTCTACAACCACATATGTAGCAAAACCAATAAACTAAAACGTTCATACACCAGGCAAAACATCCTCCCCGACTCTCTGTAGAAGGTGTTCCATCTCTTGCACCTACAAGCATAGAAAGTGAGAAACGATGAAGGGGAAACTACATCAAGGATTAAGAAGACAAACACAATTCACGTTGAAGTATAAGAATCACACCTCGAGACGTGGAATCCTTGTTCTAATATCATCAAAATATTTCAAACCCAACCTCTGCGCATGAGTTAGTGAATCCTCACTCTTCAAGTCTTCTAGTGTTCGATGTCCTTTCTCGTATAGCTTGAGTGCAGTTGCAGGACCAACACCCCAAACTTCTCCAAACAAACTGATTGTACGAACCTTCAATCACAGTAAGGAAAGATTTAAAGTGGTAAACAATTAACAGTGGAAAGATCTCAGGCTAAATCTCCAGGTCATTGACAGAACAAGAGAGAAAAGCAAATGGCTCTCATTGTGAGCTTATATTTAACTGAAATGGAAGATCGTAGAAATTACCTTCTCATCTGTTTCAAAGTGTTCCAACTTGGACAACTTCCCTGTTGTCACAATCTCTTGAATCTGCCAAGGTAGAAGAACAAGGTTATGTCTCAACAGAATTACATAACAAAGCTTATAGGTCTAATGCTTTCCAAAAGCTTATCAAACAAATCCATAGTTAAGCCTCTCACAAGAAAAATCAACCTATAGCTAAAAGCAGTGCAACACCAATAAGCATTTAAGGTTTCGACTTTCGACACCAATGATACAAGAACTTAGAAACTAGCTGGAAAAACTTGGAGGTACCACAAGCATTAAACATTTTTGACATCCAAACGCACAAACATACATGAGAATATATGAACACATTTGCTTCACTCACATGATCTGTCAATGACTTTCCAATTCCAGGGAGGTGTTTGAGCTGATCAACGCTTTCAATCTTAGTGGGGAACTTCTCAATGACCGGGATAGCTTTGTAATAGCTAAAAGACCGCCTATCATCACCCAGAGCTTTTGAAAGAACCAAAAGAAGTTATGTTACTAAAGGCCTTTCAAAGAGCAGTATAACAAAACGAACACCAAGGACCATAATACCTCTATATATGTTTATTAGCTTTCCAAATATCTCGGTGATATTTCTGTTCAAATCAGGTGGTTTGTACACCGATGTGGACTATCAATCAAAAGAAGATCAATAAGGTATTTGAAATAGCAGCAACATTGATGTTTGCAGATATATAGCAAACAGACTCTTGTAGGCTTACCTCTGATTGTGGACTAGTGGGAGTCTCTGAAATGCCTTCTCCAGGACTGGCACTAGTAGAGAGAACACTGAAACTTGTAGGAGAATCTTTTGAATTGTTTTGGCTTTCTAAGCTTACAGGGGAATGTCTAGTTCGTTTTTCAGCTGACGGTTGATCCTCACTACCACTTAAAGACTTGTTCTGCTCTTCAATTTCCCCTGAGTCGATTTTTGGAACATACAAGTCTTCATTTGCCTTCTCTCCTGAAGTTAGGCTATCTTCTAACCATTGGTAAAGCAGAAGGCGCTGCAAGAAGAACATTCAATGTAAAAAAAAAAATCAAAAATTGCATTTTTTTTATGATGACATTCATGTTTCGTTGCAGAAAAAGTGCAGAAAGCTGAAAGGAAAAGAAGACCAAACTCACTCCTCTAAAATGCGTCGGAATTTCTTTCCCGAATTTCTCGAGAAGAGCTTCGGGATTCATGGCGAGAACATGAGTGACTTTCTTCGTTAACCGGTCTTCCTCGATCACTGCTCCCATTTGAACCAGCTTCTGCTTCCAGATCTTTCATTCAACAATCAGAAGAAGCTAAGGAAATTGTCGAAGTTGATGAAAGCATAAACAAAACAGTCTGAGTAAAACCTGCAATCGGCGACGCTGGACTCCAATTTCCACCATAAAAACTACCATTCCGGCGAAAATTCCCTCCGGGTCCGGAGAAGGCGACCGATTTCTCCCTCTCTTTGGCGCCATTTTCACGAAACGTAACTCACTACGAAACGGAACAGCCAAATTCTGTGAACTGCGTTTGCCCTTTCAAGTAGGAGTGCCCCAATTACGCTTCGTTTCAACGAACCGAATCGGAACCAGACCGAATAAAATATGTTCTAAACCGGAATTAATTTTTGATATTGATTTTTGCAAGTCACATAATTTGTGTATGTGGACCGTTATTTCTGACATTTCTGTAAAACAATGGTTTCAAAGATTTTTTTGCAAATAGTGAAAAAGGTATGTAACTACAAGAACAAGAACTTTAATTTGGATAGAAAACCAGTCAATAAATCAAGGCAAATCATACAGTTAAGTTGGGTTTAAGATGGTGAACACACACACAGCCATATGAAAAGGAAATTAATAAAGCTCCAAACTGAGTCACTTGCTTCCACAGGAGGCTTCTTCGTTGCTTTGTAAGACTGCTGAGGCATTTCTTCTTCAAATCTTTCACAAGCAAGGCCGCTGCTGCTTGCTTCGCCAGACATGAGAGAGCCGCTACATGCCCTCACTTGATTCCAACCGTTGGTCCACCAGATTTGCTGGTGCTTGGGCACATCCTTCCACAGGAGGCGTCTCGGTTGCTCCGTAAGAATTCTCCGTGAGAGCTATAAGAGACGTAAGCCTCAGTCGATCCATTTGCTCATTCAGTTCACTCTCTTCAGTAATCTGTGCGCTCTCCTCAGCAAGACGATCTGCACGCATCTTTCGACGACTCACAAGGAAGCGCAAATCTGTTCCAGCGCTGCCGCTTGCTTCGCCAGACATGAGAGAGCTAACTGATGGCCACCGTTGGTCCACCATATTTGCCCCTGCACGAGTCTTAGCTGCATCCCTCTTAGCACGCCTACGAGACGCCCTCCCAGAACGTCTCTCAGCCATCGTTTCCTGGGACTGTTGGTCCACCACCAGATTTGCCCGTGCACGAGCCTTAGCTGCATCCTTCTTAGCACGTTTACGAGACGCCCTCCTAGCACGTCTCTCAGCCATCTTTTCCTGGGACTGTTGCACTACTTGTTCAGCATTCTATAATCATATCATTATCTCATAATCCAAAATGACACATATATGGATAAAATCATTTACCAAATACTTGTACCATGGTTGAGGGATGCCTATCCTGTGGCTTGGAGGCAGAAGCTTCCAAGGTGTTTCTACTAGACTGGAGAGGTCGAAACATGGTGGAAAATTTAGCTGTTCAAATACCTACATAACAAGCATAAGAGACAAAGACTAATCAAGACTTCTAATTATGAGACTAAATATGGGAACCAATGTTTCCAAAACAACCTACATTATGAGAAAAGGATGGCATGAAAGGTTCCAACAATTGTGCTAGAAGGAGTACTAATCCAGCAGCACTTCTTATAACAACTGCACAACAAGCTTTGTCTTCCTTGTAAAGTTTCCAAAATTGTTTTTCCTACCAGAAGAAGAAAAAAAACGGTGAAATTGGACAGCCAATAAAGCCAAATACTGAATACAAATATAGTTTGTTGAATGTTAACGAGAGAATATAATTACACAAACGTATAAGTTCCCTTCCCCTGCAATGTGCATCGCAGCTATAAGCCCCTGCTTGAGATTATCCTGCATCAGATTTTACTAAGAAGATAAGAAACTAAGGCAGCCAAACCAAATTTGATATATATGTATATATCAGTCCTCACCTTTCCCATGGCTTCAACATACTCGTTAACCAATACTCCAACCTTTGCAGCCAGCGATTTCGTTGGAAGATGAGATTCAGCACCAGGAGCATCAGGAATGACAGATTTATAACCTTCACACACAAAAAAAAAAAAAAGATGGTTCAAAAACAGCTCTCACTTGCGCAGCCCATACTTTTAATCGGTGCCTTGTGAATCAAGTTTGTCATCATCTACAGCTACCACCCGATACTTGGAACGAAGTAACCAACCTGCCTTTCCATTCTTTGCTATAAAACTCAGAACTCTATCAACAAACTGGGCGAGGATGATCACCAAGTCGCCACTCAGCTTTGTTTGCAAATCTTTACACTCAAACGATGTGTCAGAGATCTAACAAAGGCAACAACTGAGTGGTTTAATGTAACGCAGTAAAGCTGAATACACAATGGGACACAAGGAATTGAGACCTAAGAAGGCTAATAACTGAGATCATTAATTGACATATACCTGCTGCATAATGTTGTCTGAAGAAGACAAGTTGTTGGAAAATTCTTGAGCCTGATCCGGAGCTGAAGTTGGCTCAAACTTGCAAGAACTTATATCAAACCATGTATTAAGTTCTTGGTGAATTGCGTGAAACCTAAATGCAATCAAGAATAAAACAACAACATGGTAGCTTGATTAAGGTGCCGGTCAGTTGTATTTACTTTTAGTCAGAAAACGATAACGAATGGAACATTACAACAACAACTTCACTAGAAATCAATTCAAGATATATTACTTGTCAGAGGCTTCCTTGGGCAGAGCACCACTTATATTTCTCTTGCCGTCCTCCATCGCGAATCAAACAAGAGCACAGGCTAATTAGGGTTTTCTCGGAAGCCAAAGATAAATACAACGAAGGGATTGCTTGGTGAGGACTTTAGGTTATAGGCTTTTATTTTTTGATTTTTTTTGCAGAAACTTTAACTTTAAAAATATGACTGAGACTTTACAAAAAAAAACAAAAAATCTGATTTTGGTAGCTTTAAAAAAACTCGTGTTCAGATTGATTCAAACTATGTGTTCGTCTTCTACACTAACAGGCAAATTGGCCAAACTTCATGAAACTTTTCTTTGAAATTAAACCAAAAAAAGGAACAAACTTGTCTCCTCCTTGAAGCATTTCAACACCTCATAAAGAATGAGAGACAACCACCCAAGGCAGGACAAATCTTCACTTCAATATCTCTCTCTAGAAGAAAATTTCTACTTCCTTTTCAGTCATCTCAAGGACATGATCTCTAGCGTCCGTGAGAGCGCCCTGGTAGAAAAAAACAAAGGACAAATTCTCAGCAACCACAGTCTTCTAAGAGAGAACCTGGAAGGAGATATGTTCTTACCTGTCCGAACTTGGTGATGAAGTTGTTCCCGAGGTTTATCGATGTAACCGTGACATCTTCATTGGCCTTCAATGCTTGAGCAATGGCGAATGCCCCATCATCCTACATATGAGTCAGAATAATAAGACAGAGTGGCTTACAAGGTTAAGACAGAACAAAGTAGTTTTCTTTCTACCCGTATTTCATTGAATCCTAGATCCACGGATGTCAGAGCTTCATTTACTACTTTTAAGCTCCGAGCTAAGCAGGAAGCGCCCTGAAAAAAGATAACCATCATATACATTAGGATAAGAGTATTTGGTTGAAATCTTTTAAGTAAATAAAAGAAGCCTCAGAATACTGGTTAAATCTGTCTGAAGAACCTCGTCTTTAAGTCCATTTGCCCGCAAGTCTAAAACAGAGATCGTGTTGTTATATCTCAACATGTCTGCAACATATTCAGCACCCTTAGCAGCTATCTGCAGACACAGGAATGAAAAAAGGTAAACTAAATAACAGAAGAAGCATTTGTGACGTTTTTGATAGATAAGAGTTATGGACATGCTTTTTTTTACCTGGCACCAACCAAGTTTTAGCGTCTTAACATTTCCATGGAACTTGAGAATTTCGGATAGTGATTTAGCTCCGTCGGGGCCTATGGGATTGTAACCAAGTTCTAACTGAGGAATAATGAGACTGGTAGTGTCAATATCTTCCAAATTTTTGGAAATAAAGATGAGAAAGATTTAGATTAGATGGTGCTGACCGTCGTTATAATTGTATTATCTTTCAATGCTTGAGCTATAGCATTAACTCCCTCCGCTTGGATATTATTTCCACCCTATTTCAAGAAGTGGCGTTAGCATAACAAATGGCTCGATTTGAGTGCAAGGTAAAATTTAGAGAAAACGGAGAAGAAGATGGTTGCTTCTCACCATGTCAATAGTTGCAATTGAACGGTTTTGCTTCAGAGCATCTGCCACCTTTTCAGCTCCCTGAAACCATTGAAACATCACAATATATGACAACAAAGCAAAGAGAAACATGGTTTTCTGAAATTAGAGAAGTAACCCCCACGATCCAGCTCCATTATAATGAATTTGAATATTGGTACCTCATTGCCTATATCATTCATGTACAAGTTCAACCAAAGCAAGCACTTGCTTCTCTTGATGTATTCTGCTACATAGAAGGCACCCTTTGCAGTGATAGAGTTGTTACCGAGGTCCAGCAGAGCCAGTTTCCCTGCACACAAAAAGGCATCTTACTCTAAATATTGAATTCCTCAGAGGTTGTAAGAAAGCCTTAATATTGACGTATGAAGAATGTTCTGCTAAAGTGAAAACCTTTGTGGGAGGATAGACCAGCCATCAGAGCTCGAATCCCTTCATCTCCTATGGAGTTTCCATGCAAATGAAGTTCCTGCGGTTAAAATCGCCAAGGGAACAGATCAACTATTGATGAAATAAATTCATTAGTCGTCTTTGATGACATCGGAAATCACCTTTAATGCATCATATAATATAACACATTTCACAATGAAGTGTTTCTCTTAACATAGAAAAGATATATTTAAAAAGACACATGAGGCATATGTGTACCCTTAAAGACTTGTTACCCTCAAGACCTTTGGCTAAAGCATTAGCACCCATAGCACCACCGTAGTTCCCACTGAAATAGATTATCCATAAATCCGAATGTCAGGGATATGATATATACAGAAGAAGAAGAAAAACAAGTCCAGGAAATCATCCATCTATGATCATAAACTCACTTGAGATGTAAATTTCGTATTGTATTATTCTCAGGGAGAGATCCAGCAAGACTTGTGAATCCCTGCCTCCATTTCAAAAGAAAAAGAGGAGAAGCCACAACAGATTCAATTCATAAAGCTGGGTGCTTAATTCCGTGATATAAAGGTACACTACATGGATAGAAACAACTTACAGAATAGTCAATCAAGTTATTATTCAGCTCAATAACCCTCAAGGTTGAATTTCTCTTCAACAACTCTGCAATTTCCTTCGCACCCTGCACAGGAACAATTTACTTGGACCATGAAATCAATTAAAAGTATTGTGGCTCACTAAGGAGTTGTGAAGATCATGTAAATTACAGCATCCGCTTAGACAAACCTCGTCTCCTATATCAGTACTGTTCAGCTGAAGTATCTCGATGCTAGAATTTTCCATCAACGTATCACATAAAGTCTGCCGTTACAAGAGAAAATGATGGCAACAGATATTAGTACACATCAATGTGTTCTCCTCTCTTGACTGAACTGAGGAATTTTTTACCATCAAACATCCGGAAAAGAAGTTAAATATGCTAGCAAATCATATTTTCACTAACCTTAGCTCCTTCATCGCCGATAGGGTTTCCAGAGAGGTTAAGAACCTTCAACACAATATTTGACTGAAGAACGCCATCAAAAGCTTTAACTCCTGCAGCTGTAATTCCATTTGCAGAAAAACTGACTTCCTCTACAGTCTGAAACACAATATGGGTAAGGTTACTCAACCAACATAAGAAGATCAGCACTCTAATGAGTTGCCAGATAACATATGTGAAAGAGAGGTAGAGCTATAACCTGATTATACCCAAGGCTTTCAGCAAGAAAGAATAGTCCTTCATCTCCAAAGTTGCATCCTGCCACATAATACTCAAAGGTGAGCTACATCCAATATCATGAACTTCAACCATATATTGACCACAATTTATGCTCCGAGAAATGTGATAACAGTTAGATCATTGAACGCACACCTGACATGTCAACACTTCTGAAGGACCTGAGTTGTTTTGCAAATTCATTAAGCCTCTGCTTGTTCTCCCTATCAACCTTTGCAGAAAAAAAATTCGTACCAGCCCCGATTGACCATTTCACTCCCTCTGTAGAAGATTTGCCTTCTCCAGCAGAAGAAGTCTTTGGAGACTTTGGCGTCATGAACTTCTCAACCACTTTCCACAAAACTGTCAGCTGAATACACAAATTAGATGCCAACACAAACCAAGTTCCTCTCATTTACTAAAATATCTCTTTTTACCGAAAGTGGCGACAGCAAATGAGCCCAAAGGCAAGACGGTAGACGCAAGCTGCTGCACTTTAGCATTAGGAAAACCACTAGCCGCCTGGGACTCCTTGTAAGCCCTGCGCTTCGAGCCTCCCTCCGAGTTATACGCCGCTCTGATCGCCGGAAGTCTCGGACTCCGGTGAAGAAACACCACCGGAGAAATAGACAATCGGTGGCTGGGAACGGACCCGCCCAACAATTGGAACCGCAACCCACTCCTCCATTGCCCCAACCCAGAAGAAGCCTTGAAATTTCCAATGAAGAAATGGAATCAGAAGCTAAAGTAATTGAAAGAAAAAAACGGATTAGTACAAGTAGAAAATTACCTTGGGGAGAGAGTGGAGATAGAGAGAGCTGGTGGAAGAAGACGACATAACGAGCGGCTTAATTATGCATAGAGGCGTGAAAATCTCACTGTGAGAACCGACCTCTGAAGAAGAAGAGAGAAGAAGAGGAGACTGACGCGGCGAATTGGAGAAGAAGAGAAGAGAAGAGAAAGATGATGAAGATGAAGTTTGTTTCCTTCGCGCTATGTGTGTGTGCCTTTAGGTTCGGGTATAACCCAACTCCACACCGGGTCAAAATCGGGTTTACAATTTAGGACCCGATTGAGACACAGGGTCCAAATGTTCATTTTTAACTACTTTTGGTGAAAACATGATAATCATCACTAATCAAATCCCTTAATTATAAACGTAAAACATGTGGATGACTTCAAATTATTAAGCGAAAAGAGATTTTGTTTGTTTTGTTTTGTTTTCCGGTGAAGAGACGACTCCTCAGCTCGGCGATTCTATTTCGGGATGATGGCGTTTGCTGGAATCACGACTTCGAATCCAACTTTTCTTCAGCTAAGGATCTCTACCACAAGTTTCCGTTCTCTGGTTCCGTGTAATTCGATTTCGTTTCCTCGTTCATCGTACGTGAATCTCAATCGGAGAGACCGCCTCTATGTTCGATCCACTTCAGCTCCAGGTTCGAATTGGGATTTCACGAAATTACTCTGCTTTATCTTCCAATTTAACCTTTTTGATTTTCTTCTGGGTTGTAATTGTTTGATTCGCTTCCTGTAAAATCTTCGTTATGCTTTTTACGATTCTTATCAATAAAAATAGAACCTTTGCTTTCAAAATTGAAAACTTTTTAGGTTGCTGATGTCTGAGAATTCTTATCGGTGGAGATAATCTCTGTATCCTAGATATGTCTCTCTGTGAGAAGTGTACTAAGCTCTGCTCTAGTTTTGTTATTCACGAGAACTAAAAAGAGACTTCTAAATTTTCTCAGCTGCACCTGCTGCAATGGAGGGACTGAAGCCGGCGATATCGCTGACGGATAACGCACTAAAGCATCTGAATAAGATGAGATCAGAACGCGGAGAAGATCTGTGCTTGAGGATTGGTGTCAAACAAGGAGGGTGCTCGGGGATGTCTTACACGATGGACTTTGAGAACAGAGCCAACGCTAGACCAGATGATTCTACCATTGAATACCAAGGTTTCGCTATAGGTATGTTTCTTCCCTTGGTTTCTGATACAATAGTAGGATCAGTAAGCTGTTTGATGATGTGCAGATTGAAATGGAATCATTGATATGTCAGAGTAGTATTAGCTGTGCGGTGTTAGAGTCTGCTGATTTGTCACTTTGACTGACTCTTGTTATGAGACTTCAAGTCTATTGTAGTTTGCAGTCAAAGTGTTTATTCATCTGTTAATGCAGTGAAAGTTATTTTGTACACATTTCTTTTCTTTGCTTTTGCAGTTTGTGATCCGAAGAGCATGCTCTTCCTTTTCGGAATGCAGCTTGATTACAGCGATGCTTTAATCGGTGGAGGCTTCTCTTTCTCGAACCCTAACGCTACACAAACCTGTGGATGTGGGAAGTCTTTTGCTGCCGAGATGTGAAACAGTTTGACACATTGCAGTCAAAATATGTATGTATAGTTTTATGGAACATTTTGTATTATGGCTGTAGAATGCCCACAACAGAATCAGAAACACTGTAAGCGTTTTCATTTGTGAAATGATCAAACCAAAAGTTACAATGAATATTCAAATTCTGGTTACAAATTCCAAAAAAAAAAACAAATTTACAAATTATCAGAAATTTCTGATCACTGTTACACATTAGCTCCAGATTAGGCTCTTTAATTGCCAAACATTCATGACGAAAGAAATAATGTTATAGTTGTTTTGTATTTGGATGGAACAAGTGTCCGTATGTTGGATCACTGTGATTCCCGTTTCTCCTCTATTTGACAGCAAAACAAAATGCTTGTGAGAGGAAGAAGCTACGTAAATGCAGAGAGGTGACATGTGGTGGAGTGTGTAGCAATGCATCCACTAACGAATTATTTATGCATAATTAAAGGTTTCATAAAAAGACTATAAAAGTATGGAATCGTTATATCTGTAGCACCCACGAAAGAAAAAGCCATTTTTCTCTTAGATCAAAAATGGAGAACAGAGGGATAGAAGAAAACAGCAACGAAAACATTCATGCTCCACCGATTCCTCAGACACCTGTGAAACCAATTGTTCCGATTTGCCAATATACGGCGGAAGAACAATCCAGCCAGAATGAGGAAGATAATGGGCAAGTCTTTGTATGTTTTTCTTGTCCTAAAATTTTTGAAAATGTCGAAAGAAAAGTTGCTTAAGGAAGTGATGCATGCAGGAGTTTCGTTACGAACAGAGACATGAATGCTCTTGAGCATATGTCTTTTGGAGATTTACTTGCTCTAGCCAACGCATCAGCATTTTATTTCTCCCGTCAGGCTTGTGGAGCTAATGATGCAATTACTTGGATTCAGACAAGTAAGATGGCTTTCAGGCTGTGATTCTTGTTATGATTAGAGATAATTAAAAAAATTGATTTGTTTAAGTTACAAGAATTTTGTCTTGTTTTGCAAAAAGCTAATGAAGAAGTGGAGAGTGATGTGAGCACAGTTTGTAACGACGACGTTACTGAACGTAAAAGACTCCGGAGAAGCCAACGTAGAAAGAAGAAGTCAGTAAGAATCAAGAAAGTGACTAGAATTCTTTATGAATCAGCAGCTTCAACTCGTGCTAAGAAGTAATAACTGCAAGTAGCTATTACACAGATGGGCATCTGAATTTTGTTTATGTCATATATTAAGCTGCTTCATCATATAATCTAACGGCTTATCATGTATAATATAATGGCTTATGATAATGTATAATCTAACGGCTAATCATGTATAATATAATGGCTTCTCATGTAAATCTTATCGCTTTTGGTGTATAATGTAATCGGTTATAAAGTGTTCTTTTCTCTTAACGTTGCATATGATATGACCAGATTACTGTAGAATGCCTCAACAAGTCAACAGTATCAGAAACACTGTAGCATTTTCATCTGTCATTATCAAACCAAAATTACAATAAATATTCAAATTTTGGTTACAAATTCAAAAAAAAAAAGAGACAAATGATCAAAATTTGCTGGTCGCTGTTACTCATTAGCTCCAGATTAGGATCTTCTCTTCTTGTTGGATCTGGAGGATTGCTTATCATTGCCTCTCTTTTTGGCGGATTTATCATGACCACTTGGCTTTACCTTGGTATAAGATTTGGTGGTCTCGATACTGATGATACCACTTGAAGAGATCTTAGACTTTTCCAAGGCTTCAGCTTCTTTGCCCCCAATACCAAATTGTTCAAGCAGCTCAGGATCCAATTCTATCTTTGCCCTCATTTGTTCCTTTAGACCAAAACATTTGAGTGTGAAAACGAATTCTCGACCTTACATGGAAATCAAAACAAGAATATATGCTTGAACAGAAGCGAATACCTCGACTTCTTTTGCAGCTTCCCTGAGATCTTCGTCTACCGATACTTTATGAGGTTCAAGCACTCTCTGCAACCAAAAGTCACCATGAATAATATTAATAAGATATTCGTCTATGTATTTCTCTATGTTCAAAGAAAGGGATTATAATTACTGAGCAAAGGAACATAGAAGTAAATTGTTAGTTTATCCATCTGAACTTACTTCTTTCAACCGAGGGAAGGTGGATTCAATCTCCTTTGCTGCGATTCCATTCAGATATTTGTATAACTTCTTTGCAACCTTCAAGAGAAGAGAGTGTATTTGCCCCCTCTCTAACTGCATTTGTCTCTGTAAAGTGCAATGTAATGATCCAAATTTAGAACATCCAGATGTGTCTACAAGTTTATCTCCCAGATATGCCGGATGAAACATAACGAGAGGAGTGCAAATCACTGAAGTTATCTTAAAGATAGTATACCTCGATGGAAGAGAAATCTGACTCCTGCAAGCCCAGGCATAGGAGTACAGATGCTTGGACATACGAAAGCGTGACTGGGAGCTTCTCTTGAAAATAATGATGTGCTAGAGTTTTGCAGAGGTCATAAACCTTTGAAAAGATAAGAAAAAACAAATATTTACCAATGTGTGTGTTCATGTACATATTCCCCCAAAAAAAAAGAATCTGAGAAAATGAAGCTAACCAGATTGAAGTCAACTAGATTGTCAGTGTATGCTCTGAGTCTCTCCATATCATAAGGTGAAAAGACTCCATCGAGTTTCTTCAGAAATCCATTTGCTGAACTCTCCGAAGAATCAACCTCTGTGAAGTTGATCTTAGGGTTTAAGACACTAGACAAAAGAGTGACATGAGAATATCATCAGATCCCAGAACAGTACAATTTCGTCCTAAACTAATGTTGCAGAAAAAGTCTCCATGGGGAACGAGAAGAGTAAGTGCTAACCTCATTGCAAGTTTATAATCCATCTTCTTGAATTTATCGCTCAACAGCTTAGAGAACCTTATCCTGAAATCTGAACAGAAGGGAAGAAGTGGCCAAGACATCAAATCAAGCATGTCATACTTGAAAGATATAGAAAAGTTTCGGTTCTTATTTACGAATCAACAAACCTTTATAGAAGGGAGCTAAAAAACCCAATTCATCTGACTCGTTAACTTCAAAGTCATCGTTGTTTAACGGTTTCAGAAGCATACATGTGTGCTCACCAGTCACAGCACTCTGCTCCAACCAAGTATAGAAACTGTTTTATTAGCTACTAGACAGGCCAAGAAAAAGCATTTCAGGAGAATGAAAAGTGATAATCTTAACTGGTATCTGGCTGATATAAAATGGGGCAAATTTATGTTTCCTCCAAAAACGGAAAAGGTCCAAAGTAAGGCCAAAAGAGACACCGAGGTAGTGGAGCTTCTCAGGTCGTCGATCACGAAGAGGAACCAGCAAAGGTGGAAGATTGGTGCGTGGCTTTATTTGTTCCTCAAGCAAAGAAACCTTTGGAAAAGAAGAAAAAAAAAGTAAGAAGTCGAATGCATAATACTGGAATAAACGCACAAGGATAGACAGAAAAACAAGCACCTTTTCAGCAGCTTTGGTAACTCTAACTGGCGAAGCCTCCACATCGAGTTCATCATCACCTTCTGATATTGAAGCTAACTGACCCTCAAAGTATCTGCCATATCAATCAATTAAGTCATAATCATTAAGCATTAGTCACAACTTAGTGCATACTTATGTATATCTTCGTGTATTTACCTGGTCAGTAATTCAACTGCAGCAGACCCATATCCCATCTACATAGAATGCAACCAGGAATTTGTTAGTCTCTCACTCCTCAAAGAACCCAAAAGATTAAAAGATGAGCAGGCTAAGCAATATTCACCTTCATGGCGTTGGGGTGGACTGCTATGCGCACGATACGAGCACCCGAATAAGTTGGAAAGACAAGATTCCGGAACTGTTCACAGAACTTCCATGGTATTTGATCTCCATGTGGTGAATGACCATCTCTTAAACTTTTGATGGCTGATTTCTGAGATATCTGTCCTTCGAGACAGACCTGCAAAAGTACATCCACAATTAATCACAATGTTGCTTTAAGACAAGTTACATCCAGAATCGATAACTTCTGGTTTTATTCTTTGTTAATTCAACTAACAGTGTCCAAAGAAAACAGGAAAAAAAAAGTACCTGGACAACACATAGTATGTCAGGAAGCTGGTTTTTGGACTCATCAACAGGACCTGTACCAAATAGAAGTTCAAAGGCAATACTATACACTTGGTGATTACACCTAGCTACGAAAAGGAGGAACAGTTAAATACCGAGAAGGACAAACAAATGATGAGCAGGAGCATCCGACAGCAGTTGAAGATCATTAGGAGAATTCTTGTAGTGAGAAGAGACACAAAGCGCCATCATTCGCTGTAGAATACCACTTAATGTCAAGCTATTATTATCACCACAAAGCTAGCCAAAATCTAGATTGTAAAATTGACAATAGTTACCTGTAAAAACAACTCACTGTCTTTGTGATAAGAAAATAGCGTGTCTCGGTTGACATAGTAGAGATCACACTGACTTGGCAGAGGATGGCTACAAATGACAGAATAAACAACCAAAGCGAAGAATCAGTAAGCAAGAAAGGGTAGCAAACATCGTATTTATTTCTGTGAATATACCATACCAGGCAGGATTTGGGAGGCAATTAGCAACATCAAGACAAAGTAAACTATTGAGCCAGGATTCGATTGGATCTCCAGAAGCGTATCTAATAGACTCGATAAGTTCTATCTTCTTAAAAAGGCAACCTGAATCCAAGGAAACTTCAGACAGTCAGGGTATTCTCCAAGATAATGATTAACATCAGCTAGAGAACTAAGAAGAAAAAGGATTTCGAATACTAAATACTAAGACACTGAAGCAGTTACATACCAGCAAGAGAGCCTTCACCACCAGTAATTGGGACTCGGCTTTGCTCTTCTAACTGTTGGAAGAGTTTCAGGGACAAAGATCTACCAGTACCTTCATAGCTTTAATAAATAAAGATAAAATAAACAAAAATCAGACAATCAGTAGCCTGACTGACCCAAATTCCC